CTATGGTCACTCCTCCCAGCATTCTGCTGAGCTCCTCGTCGCCATGGACCGACAGCTGAAGGTGCCAGGGGATGATCCTGGTCCTCCTGCTGTCATGAGCAGAGTTTCCCACCAGCTCCAGGATCTCGGTGGTCAGGCACTCAAGCATCGCCACCAGTTTGACAGGAATGCATCCACGGCACCTCCTTTTCAACTCAGTTGGGATTTGGGGCTGTAGCCGAGGTATTCGAGCTTTTGAGATGCTAATCAGCTGAAACTGGTTGTTCAAAAACCACTTTGTTGCCATGGTTATGCATCATAATAAATGCCCAAAAGTAAAAAAAGGTTTCAGTAAAAATCCTTCCAGCTGCACAGCATCTTCCAACAGAGTAAACAATCATCCAAAAAACGTGACCCACATTCAGCAAAAAGAGGAACTAAAGTTTCCAAAAGCAGCAACTTGGAATGAATGTAACGGAGCTACTCCAACATGCAGCCACCCCATGCGGCACAATTCTAGAACTTGTCTCCATGTGTCCCTGTGATGGACTGGAGACCTGTCCAGGGTGTCCCCCATCTCTCGCACAGATGGTAAAAGGACTGTACTTGTATAGCGCCTTTCTATCTTATTTCAAGATACTCAAAGCGCTTTACACTACAATCTGTGCCTCATTTACCCATTCATACAGCACTCTACTAGATCTCTACAAAACTAATTGAACAAATCATTCTAATGAGACTAATCAGTGCTTTAGATCACATTCATACACCGATGGGACACACATCAGAGGCTATGAGGGGTTCAGTGTCTTGCCCAGGGACACTTCGACATGTGACTGCTGGTGGATTCGAACCCCCAACTCTCGCATTGGAGAACAACTGCTCTAACCACTCAGCCACAGCCGCCCCAATAGCTGGACATGGGCACCAGTGACCCCCACAACCCGAAAAGGAAGAAGCGGGTAAAGATGATGGATGGGTCACTTAAATAAAATCTTAAGACAATCAATCATTCAGTTTTGGCAAGTAAATTATTATTTTTCTTATTTACACTTTATGCTCACAATTCATAGACATAATGGGCAGAATGACATTTCAAATGTAAAAAAAACAAAAACAAAACAAAAAAAAAAAAACGTTGACCAAATATGAAGCCTTTAAAACTGAACTCAACAAATCAAAAGGGCAGACACTTTGATGACTAAGTCCACTTCATTTAAAGTTTTTATTTAGCAGAACAATATGCAGTTTTGCCACTTTATCCTTCAGACAACAGTGTTTTTTTGCGGTTTAGTGATGAGTAATTGGGTAAAAAGTGTTGTGTACTGTTGAAAATGATGCCAACAAACAGCTGAAAATGAACCACAACTTTAAAGCTGCTGACTCAGTTTAAACTGGCTATAGGTGGTTGTAAAGCTGATGAGATAGTGATAACAAGCTGTTTGTTCATTCATTAGATGCCTTTAACATTCCACCACTGCTTCAACTCACCAACTTTTTACAAACAACGGTATTTATTGCCTCATCACACAAACTGTAGATCTCTTACAAAATAAAGCAAGATAAGACTGATGTTAATGTGGCTGAAACATCAAAACAAGCTGAGCAAGAGAATTTCACAGCAGCTGAAATATAAAAACAGTTTTTAAGCTACAGTAAAATGCTCTATGCATTGTACACATGTATATGGAAATTTAGGATTAGCTCTGAGACAAACAAAACCTTCAAAAAGGTCATGTTTTAAGTAATCAGTTAAATTTAGTGTAAGTAGAAGGTAAGCCCCGGTCCAGGGGCCTTTCTGTGTGGAGTTTGCATGTTCTCTCCGTGCATGCGTGGGTTTTCTCCGGGTGCTCCGGTTTCCTCCCACAGACCAAAAAACATGATTGGTAACTCTGAATTGTCCCTAGGTGTGAGTGAGAGAGTGAATGGTTGTTTGTATCGTTTGTCTCTATGTGGCCCTGTGATGGACTTGCGACCTGTCCAGGGTGTACCCCGCCTCTTGCACAGTGATTGCTGGACATGGGCACCAGCGACCCCCGTGACCCAAATCAGAATAAACGGGTAAAGATAATGGATGGATGGATGGATGGATGGATGGATGGATGGATGGAAGGTAAGCTTGTTCAAATTTTCTTAACAAGAAAGTGTTTGATTAAAAGTGCTTTTATTGTTACAACTCGTACAAAAACACTTCTCTCATTTTATTGGCAGCTGTTAAAATCCATCAAGGTTGCTGTGAGTCTTATATTCTAATGATGAATTAGATTGTCTGGGTAAGACTTTTTTAATAATAAAAAAAAAGGCACAAACTTTGATGCTAATGGTTATTTTTCCACCCTGAGGTTGATGCTAAACCTACAGACACTCTGCTGGCTTCTTATCAGATCGTTGCTCTATCACAGGAGTTCATTGTGCTATATTAATACTTTTATACTGAATAGGTTTGCGATTGATAAAGGCCTTTTATCAGAACAAATGTCGCACAACAGCAGAAAATAGAAGGATGGCAAGAGATGGCTACAGGCCAAAATCAGTTCAAAGTTCAGAAACAAACATTCAATAAGTGTTTATGGCTGTCGTAACATTTCAGCATGGATTAAACTGTGGCTCGTCTCAGTGAGTCAGTGTCGGACTCCACATTCATTTCACAGAACTGGCCTCATTTTTAAATATGCAAGACCACAGAGTTACTCCTGAATCAAAAAAAGGATTTAGTAACTAGTTCAGTTAGTAAATTTATTTTAATAATAAACAGTTGTTGTTTGGTCAATGCAGTTATTACTAAATATTTATTTTGTTTGACAGTTGTCCAAAGAATTGCATGCTTTAGCATTTCTTGTTTTTTGCGAGGCGAATCGGTTCTTCTCATCCTGAACATTTCATTGCATTGCTGACCTTATGTTAACTTGTATATGACAAACAAACATAACACTGCAATAGTAGAATCAGATAAAATGTTCCTTTTTAACTGATGCGTGAATCAAAGGTTATCCTAGAAAAGTATCTGCAAACAGTGACCAATCAAACTGATGAGAACAAACAAAACAGATCAGCTTTATTTACAATAGCAACCAAGCTTTCATGATGTTTCATCTTCATATAGGTTAATGCAGCAAAATAAAAACGTATTGGGCAATCAATGAGCCCAGATAAGTTAATGATGATGTATACAAGAATAAAGAGAAGAGTAAAAACAAAAATTTTTTTTTTTTTTTTTTTTTTTTTTTTTTAAAGACGGCCGCTTTAAACTTTAAACAAAGCAATGTTAAGCAGAGGCAGAAAAACAGCCACACCGCAGTCGAAACAAAGAACAGAGCAGCAGAGCAAAGCACCTGCCAGACTGGACTGAAGGGAGTGGAAGCTGGATAAACACCAGGGAGGACGACAGCTGATAGAGACAACTTTCCCTCTTTCAGGGCTAATTTGCCTACAGTATGATAAGCTATGCTGTAATAAAGCTATTGGCAGCATATATGCAGCCTTATTCTGGGGTAACTGCGTAATCTTTCACACATTTTACTTTACTTTGTACTGAAAAGTACATTTGGATAATATGTACCATTTAATTTTGGTCAGTAAATGGACAAAACACTTAAACTAGTGAAAATGCAGCAATCAAGATAACGACGACAACAACAACAACAACAACAACAACAACAACAACAACAACAACAACAACAACAAGACTGACAGTGTTAAGACTACGTGAAGAAGCAAAGTGAACAGGCAGCTACAGGTATTTATTTACCAACAGGTTGGTGTCCAGCAGCAACACATTCCTGTAGAGACCCAACTTCAAATGTCACTAACAAATACATGTGTACTCTAAAGGAAGGAGAATGTCCTGACAGGAGACCAAACTATTTACAGCTCCCCTAACGCAGGTTCTGATCCCATTCCAATCAGTCCAGCTCTTTAAAGTGACCCCAGGAGCTAAAAATAAGATGGCGGGGGCTCTCACTGACCAAACTATGAATACAGATGAACAGGGAGGCAGCCCTGCAGCATATTAAAAAAATATTTGCATTTCGTTACTGGTTCAGCCAGTAATGACTGTTCAGTTGGATGATAATTTTCCACTTCGGTGACTGTCGTATTAAAAGTACTTTACAACCAATATCCTGGGAACAGGTTATGCAAGAGAGGAAATGTCTGACACACTGAGCAGGGTCCATCAGTGGATTATCTTTATATTCATGACACAATCAGACATTTACAGAGAGATATCTGTAAGTAGACTATCACCTTCTGTCGGCAGAGGGTGTGTCCTGATAAGACGGGATACTTGTTTATTTAGAGGCCATATTCCAGCTCACACAGTATATCTAAACCCACAAGTGCCTTTGTGACAAATCTGGTTTTGACACCTTTATCAGAGTTCGTCTTGGGTGGATCATGGGAAAATACTCCTAGAAGCTGTGCCACTATCACAAAAGAAATAACTTAGGTTGGCTTAGAGTGCACAACTATGTGACCAGGTTAGTTGGCACAAGTTTGACGAGTACAAAAGCATCACTGGTATGCAGGATTGAAAACATTCTGTCAGCTAAAGGAGTTTAAATTTGACAACATATAATGCTGGTAAAGTTCTTTTAAAAGACATATACGACAAGATGGATTGTCTCTGAGCTTTGAGTCCTTCCTGAATGTAAGCTGGTGTAAAAAACAAAACAAAAAAAAAACGCCTTTTGCTTTTACCACTAACCTTGAATGTTATTATTCTCAGCTACATTTTAAGCAAACACTGCTTTGAGCTTCAGCTCATGTACACCAACAGGAGTACACACTGAAAATAGCCCTGACCTTTTTAAATGCAGCTGAATCATGCCTCACATGAGAACACATGCTCCACTCCACAACACTGTGGAAACTACTTTTTTAGGATTCATAGTCTATATATGCAGAAAATCTAGTTAAGAGTTAGAAATACATGATGTTTAAGAGACTGACAGGTCTAAATGATGAAGACTATTGAACTTACATGAGCAATGTTTTTCAATAGTCACAAGGTTAAAACTCACTTGACTGTAACTCTTGTAGACAGGTCTTGAAGATCTCCGGAGTGAAAGAGTTGCGCCTCTTTTAGTCCGAGCTTCCCGCAAGCCTTGAGGAAGACGTTCAGGTTGTCCTGAGTAAAGAAGAAAGCAGGGATGAGGGCTGCCCACCTTTCAGAGGCAACAAATATTCACTGCACAGTTCTGACAGCGAGTCTCTTACAACTACAGCTTCCAAAGTTCATGCCACCAGGGAACAGGAGCCGACAGGGAGGAGCGTGTGTGAAGCAAATAAGAAGTGACACATGAAAGAAAGGGAGAGGGGAGGGGGCAGGGGTGAAGGGCTGCCTGACAGGACCTGAGTGATAAAAAGCCACCTGTGGGTTGGGGTGGGGACAAAACCAAAACAGGAAGAATGACATCAGAGCTTTGCACAAGTCCCACCTCAACCGGCAGTGCAAGTGCAGGAGTGAACAGCAGCAGCACACCGCCTGCTGCAGCCGCCTGCCCACACCCTGAAACTGTCCCCTCCCTCCCTGCCAAGCCCTTCACTTGAGAATACCTGTAGAATAAGAGGGGTGGTGGAGTATTTTGGACACGTCTAGTTGCTATGAAACATGAGGTCAGGTGACAGTAACCGAAAAATATTTCCCTGAAGCCGTTTGAGACAACATGGGAGTGGAAGGACACCTCGTCAATCATTCTGCGTCAAACATCAATCTGACACTTGTCCAGAAATGCACGTGCACAACTCTTGAGCACTTGATTTAGAAAACATGCGCACATTTAGTGAATTTAAAGCCAACCACAAAAGCACTATTTCTCTCCAGCGTTGTGATTTTTCCAGTTGTAATCCCAGAGTGAATATGGACTTCCCATTGGGACAGCACACATCACACATGGTTTGAACATGGGCTGGAATAATTAAGGGGTAGCTGGTTCTATATTTATATGACGAACATGCTTATTATCAAACTGTAGGAGAGGACTGACCTTTCAATATGGGCATCTAGTTTAGTGACACTTTAAAGCAGGGATATTCAACTGGCGGCCCGCGGGTGACTAATCCAGCCCTCTTCATTAAACTTTTTGCTGGTTGCTGGTTTAAATCCCGGCCCGGGACCTTTCTGGGTGGAGTTTGCAAGTTTTGTCTGTGCATGCGTGGGTTTTCTCCGGGTACTCTGGTTTCCTCCCACAGACCATAAACATGCATGTTAGACTGATTGGTGACTCTAAATTGTCCCTAGGTGTGAGTGAGAGTGTGAATGGTTGTTTGTCACTATGTCTCTGTGATGGACGGGAGCCCTGTCCAGGGTGTCCCCCTGCCTCTCACACAGCGACTGCTGGATATGGGCACCAGTGCCCCCCGCAACCCGAAAAGGAAGAAGCAAGTAAAGATAATTGATGGATGGACGTTCCCTTAAATAGTAGAAAAAGTACATTTTTTAATACAGTGACTCCAATAATTACACACATTTTTTTTCCTGGCATTCCAATTCATCATTTGTCTTCCTAAAAGTTCTCACGAGTACATTTCACTGACACGAGATTCATGATGTCAGAGTACAACATGTACACGAGACAAAAATAAAACAAATTGCTTAATTTGTCACTAATCAGCATCTTGACTGACAACACAATTACCTTGCCTTTATGTAAGAAACTAAATGTTCCATCAAGATTTTAGAATTGTATTTTCTAAAATTTACATTACTGAAACATTGATCTAAAGGGAAAAATGGTTTTAAAGAAATTTTAAACAGCTAAAATACTAAAAGTTTACCCCATTTTATTTATTTTCCACTAAAATATATGTACTTGCACCATACATTCTGATAAGTTGTTAAAACAACGATTAAATAAAACAAGACCAAAATAAACTGTAGTAGATTTTTTTCCAAAATAATTTGTAACATTAACCCTCTAATGATTTTTAAATGTTATCACCTGAACACAACATGTAAACAGACTTCCAGAGGATGATCATGACTGACTGTAATCATTCATTTTGATGTGATTTTCTTCCAATCACTATTTGATTATAGTTTCTAGTTATTTCAATATATCATTATTAGAAAGTTTATCTAGAAATCTTTAATCTCATCTGGAAAACAGATCTTGTTTTCTTGGGATAACTTCAGAAAACAAGGTTTTCTTGAGATGACAAGATGATTACTGTGAAAAAACAAGTGGTTCATGAGTTACACCCAGTTTCATTGTTCAGTATCACCATCATGATCACACAGGGGTGTCAAAATCACAAAAGGGGGGCCAAAATTAGCACAGTTTTCAAACTACGGGCTAATTTCAGAATTTACATAAACTCAAATCAGATACACATCTTTTCTTTCCTCAACAAGAGTTTGATTGGTCTCATCTGATGTTTTCTGTTGTGTGTCAAAGATTACTGAAAAAATTTCGAGATAGAAGTATTTTACATTTCACATATCATCTTGGGGGTCAGATGTCAATGAGGGCCACATTTGGCCCCCGGGCCTTGAGTTTGACACATGACTATTAGAAGATCTGAAACTGTACAAAGCCTGGATGTGTAATTTGGATGTTACATGATGCAACATTTTCAATTTGAGTCTGCACGACTGAAAATTGATTTTTTTTTTTTTTTAAATAAACAAAATTCGTTCAAGACTTCCTGTAAACATTTTACGTGCAACTTCTTAAAATGTTAAGTTCAGCAGGTGAGAGATGTACAAAGTTTACAGAGAAGCAAAGCAAACAGATTTATCAATTACAGTCCCTTACACAAGTATCTCTCTTGGCAACCTTATTTAACCTTTTACACCCTGGTATTTAACTGTATAATTTTCCAAAAATTCTTCAAAGATAAAAGTGGGGATACTTGTTTAAAGTATTAAAAGAATATATTGAAAAGTGGCACATTAATGTGTATTCAGCCCTGGAACTTTAAAATGCCAGCCTTCACTTTCAGACCCCATAATTAGTTTAATAAGATCCACCTGTGAACAATCCAAGTGCCGAATGATCTAAACCTGTCCAATAATAAACACCTGCTGCAACATCCCTCAGATTCAAGACAGCATGAAGACCAAGGAACTGCAGGTTGCAAAGTTGTGAGAGGTAGAGATCAGGGTTGAGTTATAAAGTAATATTCTAAACCCAGAACATCCCAGGGGGCACCATTAAATCTATTGGAAAAAAGAAATATTATCCTACCTCAGCCAAGGTTAGGGAGGTTCACCTTACAGCAGGACAATAACTCTGAACAGAGCTGAAGCAACACACACAGTTGGTTCAGGAGAACCAGGTAAAGATCCTGGAATGGCCCAGTTAAAGCCCAGAACTGGATTTAACTGAGAATCTCTGACTTGGTTTAAAACAATAAAATGTTCACAAGCAGCATCAATCTACCTGAAGGAGCTGGAGGTGTTTTATCATAAAGAAAGGACAATTTCTTTTTTCAGTTTTAATGTATTTTTTTTATTTTAAAATAAATCCTCACATTTAGCTTAGTCTTTTTTTGTAGGATTTTTGCCTTTTATTTAAAAAAATAAAATAAAATTCAGGTAGTTTGGCAACTAATATTTAGAACGAGAGGGATGAATGCTGTAGCAAGGTAAATGAGATCCAATTCAGTCAAAAACAGTTTGATTCATTAAGAAAATCTAATCAGATGCAACATATTTCAATCTAAATAAAGACTTTCTAATAACTAAAAGTTGTCAAGTTAAAACAAAAGATCCCGTCAAATCGTCAAAGATTTCAGCTGTCCGAGTCACAACACTGAACTGCAGGTGAACAGTTTATCTCACATGTGAATTTTAAAGAGACACGAACAGGTCATTTTGGATTATCCTGCTGAAAAAACAGTATATTCTCTAAGCAGGTATAAATCAAGATAAACCAGCCAAGTTGTTCAGGATGAACTCTGCAAGTTACCAAACATCAGATTTATCAGTTTTATATCTTTGCCTTAATCCATAAATAAGTTCAGCTCAACGTGGCAGCTTTTCTGGATTTAGTGTTTTGTTTATGAAACTGATAAATGTATTGACAGTGTTCTTTTAGAGGATTTTTTTCCTTCATATTTACAAAATGTGGTTCATAGACTCACTGGCTACATCAGTTTAACTCTTGTTGAAAATGAGAGTTTAAAAAAAAAAAAACTTAAGCCAAAAATATATACCGATGCAAAACCATTAAACCATACTAAACCAAAAAACTACATTTAAAAAGTAAATTATGCCCTAGTTTGCTAAATTTAATATTTATTCACAGGCAGATCATTTACTGCAGTGATAAAACTTCTTTTGAAAATTAGACTGAAATTAAAACTTGATGCATTTCAAAATTAAAATAAATTTATATACAGACCCCACAGACATCCAAATTTCTTCTTTTAATCTAATGCAGTAGTTCCCAACCCTGGTCCTTGAGGAACACCATCCTGCATGTTTTCATTGTTTTCCTGCTTTGACACACCTGGTTTAACAGGTGATTAACAGGCTTGTGCAGAACTTGAAGTAATTAAAGCAGGTGTGTTGGAGCAGAGAAACAACTAAGTGGTGTTCCTCAGGGACCAGGGTTGGGAACCCATGCTCTAACGGACCTCTCAGGTTAGAGCTGGGCATTCAGGAAACACTTCAGATTATTAACATTAGCTCTGAATGATATTTAATTGTTCAGAGAATTAAAAACCTCTCTCGCATTTCATCATGCAGTGATAACATTGTAGAACGAATGTTTTGCCAACGTGTGCTTGAACATAATCCAGCAAAATATGTTGCACCCATCCAGCATTTAATCCTCCTGTGAGGCCTTGAGGACCCTGACTTAATCGCCTCACGCCAAGAAACAGTATTTTTTTGGGATTTGCTTATGATGGGCACACTTTGAATGTGTCCTTGCATGACCCAGAAGGCAAACGGCAAGAAAGGCAGTGTTGAAAATATGAGGCCACACATTTTCAAATCCCACGACAATAAAACAGAAGGAAGTGGTATACTTTAATTGGTGCCTCTCCCAAACGGGCCCAATAAAAAGAGCCTTACTGCTCCAAGAGTCGTATCTAGTCATAACATGCACCCATACAACACAAACACAGTAACAAATGTGGCCACATGCCTGTCATTGAACAGATGATTACACAGACACT